CTCACCTGTCTCAGTGATGAGAGTAAGGGTATGGCTGCCGCAATTTTGTTTGACCGCTTCATTTCACTACGCTTCATCTTATTTTGTTTCAATATTCATTAGTTTTCCTATATTAATTAACGGATCTATCTTTGTTTGCTACAATCATCCCTGCTGCGTTGCTATAACTCGTGATGGTGCTAATAAACAAAACAAAAGCATCCTGGATTCCAGCGTATCTGTAACAATAAACGTTTAAGCGCCTCACAAATAGGGCAATAAAACGAGGACCTGACCCAACTCTCAGTGGCTAAAAGGATTTGTTTGGAAGCCGCAATATGAATATATCATAAGAAATGAAAACACATGGAATTTAAAAAATAAATGCAGGTAAAGAAGAGTTGGAAACTTAACATAGAAACTAAAATTGACAATATTTCAATGATCACTTTAAATCAAGTTAGAGACTCTAAATAAACAGGTTTTTAACCTTCATTTAGGGGAACTAATTTGCAGTTTTCTGCAAATATTAAACACTTCTGTTTATTAAGATATAAGATCTGAGTGAAAACATTTTTAGATTGACATTGTTCTCACTCAGTTCATTATTAACTTAAATTTCAATAATCCGGTTGATGCAAAAACAATGAAAATGACTTTAGTTTTCCATCAACAACTCAAAATCACAACCAAACTATAGAAAAAGCATACAGGCTTAAAGGAGGTAAGAACAGGATAATAATTATAAATATAAAAGAATGTGCAAGTGTGGTTATAAGGAAGGAAAAAAGGAGTAATGCGGCTTAATATGGAGCAAAGGTTCATGGATTTCTTAAAGGTCTCTGTCTTCATATATTAACTGTAAAATATATGCTTTTTTTGTGGTAAATTTTGTGGTAAATATCCATTTTAACTAATTTTGATCATCAAAGTTTATTTTTCAATGTGAAAAAGGGAACAAAAGAAATTGTTTATTAATCTGCACAGAACAAAATGTAGTAAGAAAAAAAACAGATGTTTCCTGATATTGACTGTTAAAGTGATCATTCTACTTTTTATATAATCGAAAAGAACGAACATTTTAGAAAGATCTGAAGAGCAATGATTTGTTTACAGGTAACAACAAATAGGCAAAATACTTCATTCAAACAATATATTTTCTATTAATATTGATATATCTTTTTACTGTAAATAAAATGTTAAAGAGAGGATTAGAGAGGGTAAGAAAATATTCCAGTTAATCTTTAGCAATAGAAAGTTCACCATTTAGATGTGAAAGATGCTGCAACAGCACCACCTGCTGGAGGCAAACTGAGAGACAGATTGTTTTATTTAAAACTTGACTAACCGGTTAAAAAAATGAAAGTATTTTCAGACGTTATTGAACTGAGCTGAGACGCCATTAGTGGGCGTTAGATCTCTGCTGGAAAACGAGAGAAATATTTGGAGGATTTTAAGAAGAAGCTGAAACTTTGGTGAGTCCTGCTGTTGAAATAATTCATTAGAATATGGAAGAGAAAGTTATGGAAAGTTTCCAGGGCTGCCATGTGTGTTCAGAGACTTTCAGAGATCCTGTGTCTCTGAGCTGCAACCACAGCTTCTGTTCAAGCTGCCTGAAGAAATTCTGGAAAGAAACTGGAAACAAGAACTGTCCCATCTGTAAAAGAAGATCTTCTAAGGAACATCCAGGAGTGAACTTCACTCTAAAAGAACTGGCTGATTCGTTTGCTGAAAGAAAGAAATCTGGATCCTCTGAGTCAGAAAGAGGAGAAAAGCAGCTGATGGTGGTCTGCAGTAAACACCAAGAAGACCCTAAACTGTTCTGTAA